GGTATGTATGTAAAAAATAAAGTTTAGGTGTTAAACATGTAAATGCGTAGGAATTTAGTAGTATGCATATAATTTTCTTAGAAAAATCTCATGTAAGGATAATGCCAAAAAGGTCATCTTACCTGTCATTATTGACAGCCAAGTTGAAAAGAGCTAACGCACCAACCGCCTGTGCTTTCTCATCTCCCTCATCAGTCGCTGATTTCAGAAACTGCACTAGTGCTTCCACAAACCTATCTGCACCCATATATATTCTCGCCTCCCCATCATCCTTCAGCAAAACCCTGATTTCCTCTATAGCTTTTTGCCGCTTCCTTCTGCTCATACTATCACGCAATAACTTAAGCAAACTCTCATATCTTTCAAACTCATCATCTTCGCTCTCTGTAGTATCACCATTATTAGTTTCCCCAGTGATGCCACCACTCTTCTCCGGCGGACTGCTCTCGACACCCTCGTCGCAAGATTTGAGGCCACCTATGGATCTGGAATCAATAGTATCATTCGCAGGATGGAACAGCCTCCAGGACTTCAGTTCAAGGGATTCTGGAGGGCCATCTGGAACTGGAAGGCCATTTTGCTGACACCAACTAGCAATCAGACTTTTGACGCAGAAGTTTGGAGTTAGAGAAAAATGTGTAAGCTTCTGTTGGGTCTTAGGGCAAGTGTTATGCCCATCCTTAAACCATTTTTCAATGCAAACACGCTCGTAGGTCTGTCCAGATGAAATAATGGCTGGTTCGTGCATGATCTGTAAGGAGATTGGACATCTGAACTCCTCAGGGGGCGTGGGTGCTTCTTCTGATCGCTTGTTTTGTAGTTTGGAACTAAAAGAAGACTCCCTTGCAAAATCATTGCTGCTTCCATCAGAAGGGCCTGGGAGAGTCGGAGAACATGGATTTGATCCTTGAGAATCTGAATCCTCTGGTATGTCATTTCTGAATAACTTCGAGTATTTTCTAGTTAGAAGCAGTAGGTATGCTACGATTGATTCCTTATGCTTGTCTTCCTCTGCGCGAGCCCTCTCAATCAATTTACAGAGGGCTCTTCTCTCAGAAAGAGCTGCTCTGGAGGAAGTAATTCCAAGCTTCAACATAGCTTGATGGAAGATTTTGAGCTCAACACCATCGTTTGAATTAGTTTCAGAATTCTTCTTCTCCTGAAGCAATGAGATCACTTCTTCACCTGCTTTCTTCTCTGCATGGTCCAATATAAACACAGTCCTTTCCAATTCACCAACTATTTCCATTATCTGATTCCAAAATGGTAAAATCAGGACACAGAGTTTCATAATATACCAACGATACTAAATTTCAACAACAAAATTTCAAGGTATACATCTCAAAGAAATAAGGAAATAA